TTTCTTTCTATCCTTGGCTTCAACTCATTTCTCAGTTTTGTCTACTAAGGGTTTGCATTTTAAGATTTATGAAACTTTTCTCTAGCTGTTAAGCTTGATTTTTTTTTTTTTTTTTTTTACCACTCTGTCCTCATAATTTGGTTTTCTGATAGCTTAGAGCTTTCTATTTAGGATGCTCATGAAAATTAAATAATTATGTACATCTTTCTGTTTTCACTACTTATTTTAATTCCCTACATTAGATGGCATTTCTCCCTGAAATACACTTCTGAAAACAAATACAAATCTATTCGATTTTTCCCGTTAATTCATTGAAAACAATTATTTGTTTAGTATGGTTTATTAGAAAACTCACAGGACCAAATTTAGGAGTCCTGGCTTACAGTGCACATTTCCACTACTTTTAATTTACCTGGAATAAAGTATTGTTTGTTTTGATTTCCTTTGTCTGCTTGCTTTTTAACTTGTAAGGTGTCTTAATTTTTTATTTGTAATCTAAAACATTATCTCTAGTGTATTTTATTATGCTATTTTTTTGAAATTAATACACTCTTTTAAAGGTTATTTCTGTATGCCTAAAGGGATCTACGGTGGCTGCGATGATGGGCTCAAGTATAGCAGGGATTGTGGGGCTGGCGCGGGATCCGGCAGTGTTTTGTTCTGCTGTGCATGGGGTCGCTATGAGTCGGAAACGACTCGATGGCACTTAACAACAACAACAAAAGGATCTCTGGTAGCATAGTACCTAAGACACTTGACAGTTAACTAGAAGGCTGGTGGTTCAAACCCACCAGCCACTCCTCGGAAGGAAGATGGGGCAATCTACTTCCTTAGTGATACTGCCTCGGAAACCCAAGAGGGATCGCTATGAATCGGGTCCGACTCGACGGCACATAACAACAACAACAAATGATGAAGTCATTTAGATAATTGAATGATAATAAATTAATCGAATGATAGTAAACTGAGAACCTACCCACATCCTACGTGATTTTGTACATGTTCTTATACTCTATTCAGCACTTGACTTTCTAGACTAAAGTTTCTATTTAGTCTCTCATTAGGGAGATATCAGATTATCCCATAGATTGTTTTATTTGTAATCTTCTGATCCTTTTTTTATTATTGCAGCTTTTTAATTGGCCCTGTGATGTGGTAACAGAACCTTCGGCATCTGCTCCCCGATGGCATTTGCTGTATGTAGTTCTCTGTCTCTTTACTTGGTGGCCTTGACCGAACTTACTTGACCATTTGGTTGACTCTGTGCCAAGCAGCTATGCCTGTGCCCAGGTTAACAACCTTGATTTTCATTTTCTTTCAGTTCATTTTGAAAGTGCTCTCTTATCTCCTTTTCAGGACCTTAAATGACTTTTACTTTCATTTTTAAAGGTATTCATTTATGATCAACATACAAATACAGGATGTTACCAATATGGTTAGAATCCATTTTATGAATAGGCATTCCAGAATACTGATAATAAGCAATCGTCTGAAGCAGTGATTCATCATGGGTATTGTTGTAGGTGGTTACATAACTGAAGCAGTTATTAAAAGTTATACCCAGAGGATGAAGACCAAAATTTATAGAGTACAATACCTGGGTTAGGCATTATCACCACCCCCCTTTTTTTTTCAATCTTAAACTGTCCATTATATCTCTTTGTTTGGCTACCAAGAAGCTCAAATATAAACTTATTTCAAACTTGTATTATCTGTTTTATATTAAGTACATTAAGTTTTACATTAAGCATGTATCTGAAATACCATTTTTTCCCTTTCTTCCTGGTTACTGACCTTTCTCTGTTTTGTCCTTCACTTGCTGGCTTCCCAGGCATTGCTCAGAGAATCATTAACTATTGATAAATAAACAAAATCTCTGTTGCTACTCACCAAGAAGAATGCTGAATAAATTTTGTCACGTGAGAAGTTAATTCAACGCATTTTATAATTTGTACTGAATATTGGATCATATATTTGGAATAACTGTGTGCTTTCTCATATCCTTTTAGTCTATACAATGTATCTACTCAACTGACTCTCACCCAGGCCTCCTCTGTTAGATCAGTTCTAGTGGGAGCTCTGGTAGCATAGTGGCTAAGGCACTTGACTGCTAACCAGAAGGCTGGCGGTTCAAACCCACCAGCCACTCCCCGGAAGGAAGGTTGGGCAATCCTACTTCCGTAGTGATACTGCCTCGGAAACCCAAGGAGGGGTCACTATGAGTCAGGGCTGACTCGACGGCACATAACAACAACAACAGTGGCTCTAAAATAACTCCACTGGCTTTCCCTCGGGCCATCCCCAAATGAACTTACTTTTCCGTAAACATTCCTAACATAGTCTCCAAGTAGAATCAGCCCTACTCAGGAGATGAGGTAGTAAACAGAAACAGAATTCAATTTATACTGTATACACTTTAACTTTTATGCTTTATAGTAATTTTCTTGTAAAACCAAACCAAGCCAAACCAAAACCAAAACCAAACCCACTGCCATTGAGTCAATTCCATTTCTTAGTGACCCCAGAGGACAGGGTAGAACTGCCCCAGAGGGTTTCCAAGGCAGTAAGTCTTTACAGGAGTTGTTGTTGTTTGCCATAGAGTCAGATCTGACTCATAGGGACCACTTCTTTGGTTTCTGAGGTGATATCACTATGGAAGTAGATTGCCCAACCTTCCTTCCAAGGAGTGGCTGGTGGGTTTGAACTTCCAACCTTCTGGGTAGCAGTCAAATGCCTTAGGCACTACGCTACCAGAGCTCTTTTTCCCACTGCTGATGGGTTCAAACTGCCAACTTTTGGTAGAAGTCAAATGCTTTAACTACTGCGCCACCAGAGCCTTTTAATTTTATTGTAAGCCACATGCAATTCTTTTTTTTGCAATTTTGTGAAATAAGTTGTTTTAAGTGTAAATTATGGTTATTAGTGTATTGAATTTGGTTCTTGATCTAAGATACTTAGAATTATATAAATCTTGCTGACACAACTAAATATAATATTTTACTTGAGTCAATTTAATACCAACATTATAATAATATAATAGCAATTTTACTAAAATATTGAAAATAAATTTTCTTACCATCTATAGCCAGGATCTCTGCTGTGTATATCCCATTAGTAATATATTTTGATTTCTTATCAAATTCCCTAGAAAATTGTATTTCACCAGTCCTTGAATCAACTTTTAACCAGCTTCCTGCATCATGTCCTATAATATATCTGTTTTGAAATAAATAAATTCCTCATTATGCTTTTGTAAAAGTTGGTCATTTAAAATCATGTAAGAGCTACAGTGTGAAGTTATAAACATGTTTTCATGCTTTATGTGATAATAATTGCCTTGGCATATACATATTTGTATTTATATATATACACACACATACAACACTGAACATACTAATGCATAGGTTCACAAAAGGGTTTCAAAATTTCATTATTCTTACTCTTTTAGCTATTACTTTAATTGTTAATAAAACATGAGTCTATTTCACATCTGGTTATTAAATCACCACAATATTGAGGGAGTATCCTTTATTAATTTTCACATGTGGTATCACTTAGTTTGTCTTTCTTAGAGTTTTAAGACCTATTGGTTTCAGAACACCTTATTGTTGGCTGTTCAGGGGCTATGGCACCCTCTGTTCAGTTTGTCATTAGGGGTCTTGTTACATATCATGGATTTAAAGTTGTTTCACCTGATCTCTACACCAGGTACCATTTCAGGTCTTCAGCATCACCTAAGTTTCTTTTCCTCCATTCCATATTGACATATTTCATATTCCTTATTAAGTCTATCACCTTGTTGGCTGATTGAGTAAGTAAAACTGTTAATATCAAAGTAATTCATAAGTCAATAGACTTTATTCATACCAGGGATATTGGGAAAAAAGTTATAGAGAAGGGAAGGCTAGAGAGAAAACCTATATAATTCACTATAGTTATTTCTCAGAATATTTTGTATAGATCCGATTCATGTATAATCTATGTCTTAGTGCCCTGAATATCTACCTTTCTAGCTCCACTTCTGACTCTATGCTCATAATATCTCTGAAACACCTATGTTTTAACTTCTTCCATTGTCTTCTTCACCCGCCCCACCTTTAGGTGAATTAGCCCCAAAGTCATAGATAACACAGGTTTTAAGGAACTAAGTAGTAACTCATCTTTTATGATAACATACTGTTTATAATTAGACTTAATCAGCCAGGGTCAAGGAGGGTACGAATGGCCACAAAAAGATCAATGAGACTCACAAAGTGTCTGTAGGTGGCCCTTTGATCTTATTATTACTCCCAGGACAAAATTACTCTTATTATCCTGTTGAAGCACTTATAGCCTCTAAAACAGTATTAATTTTTTTTTCTTTAAATGCTGATGCCATAAATATCTTAAAATAGATAAACAGACAAGAAAAATACCCAAAACTCCAAAAGTCTTACAACCCACATACATGAGTGCATACAACATGAATGAACACTGGGCAGAACTCTGCTTTCTCACAGTAACAGCAACCAAAGTATTTGCAGTACCTGACATTAGTTGCAGGGTTTCCTGTGTCTAAATCTACAGCTGTATATGTTCCAAGCACATAATTCAGTAAGGAATCTCCTCTGATTCCGTCTCGCACACTGAAGGTCATAGAGTTTGGATGAAACGCGGGCCCTTCTCTCACATTAACAACCTGAATCCTCACAGGAGTTGAGTGCATTCGGAATTGAGAGGCAACTGAGTGATGAAATTCAGCTTGGTTTTTAACCCCAATACTAAGATGAATATTAGGCATTTGTTCATAATCCAGCATCTGCAATGATAGGAAACAAAACAAAAAAACCAAAATCCACTGAAATAGTAATAGACTCTCTTTTGATAAAATAAGAAGCAATGATAAACAAGGAACACACTAAGATAAAGTCCAGGAGCTGTGAAGTTCTTATTTTGAATTCATAAAATGTTATTTCTTATTACATCAGCTATTTGAGACATGTTATTCTCCTAACTTTTGTTATACCCAGGTGTATAGGTTATTTAAGTCTATGACTTTATATTAAACTCAATTTTCAAAATTTTGAATTTCTTATGTAACACTCCAAAATGAAAACTGTTATTATTTTTCAAAACAAAGTGTCTGGGAAATAAAATAAATAAATAAATTTAGAATGAAATAAAAAAAAATTCACAACTGTGGAATGAATAAGTAAAGAGAAACCAGATTTTCCTTGTAGAATCTGACAATCTCTTAAAAGTATAATCAGAAGAAAAGAAAGAAACCAGTATGTATGATGTAAGTGAACCTGTAATTTTTTTTTTTTTTTTAAAAGATGGAAGCAACTTCTGAAGGAGAATTCATGATTATTACAGTAAGTCTTAAACTATAATTTGATTTTGCTTGGTCTGGTGGACAAGAAGTTTCCTTCACAAGGCACATTGAAATAAGGAAATACCACTCCTAGGGAAAAATCACCTTTGAAATGTGTTCTGTGGATAAAAGATGAGTAGAACCTTTTAATCCAGAATGATTGATGTGGTGACATGAAAAGACCCAAGTAAAAAAGCAGTTGTGGAAAACTGAGTACTGGGCAATGTCTGTTTAGAAAGCACTCTGGAAGCTAATGGAAACACCACTTGCAACACATTTATCAACAACAGAGGTCAAGATATTAGCACAGACTAAACTAAATCTCTGCTTCCCAGGGAATTCTATGATGTCATGGACGTTTTCGAGCCAAATTCTTCAGAAATGTTGACAAGACGGAAAAATTCTCAGGAATTCATTTGATGTCTTGTTTGGGCTAGATCAACATGCATGACTGAGATTTTAGCTAAAATCCTTGAGGTTCAAGATTTCTCTTTCTTTTGTATAGCTGTTCTCTACCCTGGTCCACATAATCCTTAGTGGAGTGTTGAATATGTACTCAAAATGAATTTTCAACAAGAAGACATCTCCCTTCTACAAAAATATATATATATATATATATATATATATGTGATTTGGGTGAAGATTTACAGAGCAAATTCACTTTCTAGAATTCCATAGGAGCTCTGGTAGCATAGTGCCTAAGGCACTTGACTGCTAACCAGAAGGCTGGCGGTTCAAACGCACCAGCCACTCCTCGGAAGGAAGATCACTACTTCTGTAGTGATATTGCCTCAGAAACCCAAGGAGGGGTCACTATGAGTCGGGTCTGACTCAACAGCACACAACAACAAGAATTCCATGCTACTAAAAATCTATGTTCAAATAAATGAAAAATATAAGAGTATCCATTCTGGTAATTAGAGAAATATCTCGAGGTTTTCTTGTCCAGCCACACAAGTGTGCTTTTTGTTTGTCAGAACTCTCTCCTTCTTGAATAGAGTGTGATGAAAATAAATTTATATTTGTCTAAAACTGTATCAATTACAGAAATCCACAGACTCTGGGGAAAGGAAATTGGTTGAGGGTCAGTCTGTAGGAATCTTCCCTCCAGCAGGGAGAAAATGAAGAGTGGATAGAGGAAAGGCAGGAAGTCGTTCATTGCTTCTTTGCAATATCAAGCCTTTCCTTATTGTGCTCAGAGGCCAGGTACAAGTAAGGAGCAACAAATACCACTGTTAACTACAATGTCTGCTTGAAGTTAGAATGGAGAGACTGGAAAGTTTAAGGCATGACTGAGAAAGGATGTGCAGGTATGTGTTAGGCATGTGAGGCTCAGGAAGGGATTGAGGATGAAGACAAAGCCTTCAGAATTTGATGGGTTCTGGCTGGTGTTTTGCTTCAGTACATTTTAGTAGAGAAGTTAAGCTGTTAGAGCACCACATCCAATTTTTTGTTTAATTTAATATAACATCGCTAATTCTAGGGGGCAACAGTTTATTTTAGAACTAAGTATTATAAAGGAAGTTAGAAATTTCCATCCACAAGGAGTACATACCGGCTTGAAGATGGCCATCTGTCTATGGCAGAGTATGTGGTCAAATATTTGTAGGATGTATATGTAGTGCTAGAAGCTCTGGTAGCGTAGTGCCTAAAGCCCTTGACTGCTAACCAGAAGGCTGGTGATTCAAATCTACCAGTCACTCCTCAGAAGGAAGGTTGGGCAATCTACTTCCATAGTGATACTGCCTGGGAAACCTAAGAGGGGGTCGCTATGAGTAGGATCCGACTCGATGGCACATAACAACAACAACAACAACAACATATGTTCTGTTTTCCAGGAAGGGACATTTTCTGGCACAAATGTGAATGCGGAAGACATTAAGTCACACACAGGTGGGGAAGGAACTTGTGGAGGGTGTTAGTTCCTGTTTAAAACCTGTTTTGCTAGTCCCTGCTTTCATGTGGGTGCACTGGAGATGGCAGCTAATATGGTTTTGGAGTCAGAGAGACCTGGGTTGAATCTTGTCTTTGACATTTGTCATTTGGATGAACAGAGACGTTAATTTTCTTCTTTGATTCCATTTCACTTTCTATCAAAAAGTTATCACAGTATTTTCTTCCCAGTGTTGGGAGAATTAAGTATGTAGAAAGCCCAGCGTACAATAATAGTTAGTGTTTAATAATTGCTTTATGAGTATTACCATACACATTAATCAATAAATACTAAAAGGAGTTTGTTATCAGCAGTCATAGACAATTTTGATTTTTCTTAAAGGTTCTGTCTTGTCAGACTACAAGCTCCTTGGGAACAGGGACCATGTGTCATTCACCTCTATACTTCTGCCAAAACAAAACAACAACAACCAAACCCACTGCCATTGAGCTGATTCTGACTTATGAATTCTAAGTCATTGACGTTGAGTCAGTTTCAATTAATAGTGACCCCTCCTTGGGTTTATGAGGCAGTATCTCTATGGAAGAAAAAAACAGAAAACAAAAAAACAAAAAACTGAACTAAACTAACTGCTAATGAGTTAAATCTGATTCATAGTGACCCCTCCTTGGGTTTCCTAGGCAATATCTCTATGGAAGTAGATTGCCCAATCTTCCTTCCAAGGAGTGGCTGGTGGGTTTGAACAGTGAGCCTTCTGGTTAGCAGTCAAATGCCTTAGGCACTATGGCACCAGAGCTCCTGAAAACCAAACTTCCTGCTGTTGAGTTGATTGGACTCATAGCGACCCCTCCTTGGGAGACAGTATCTCTAGGGCAGTAGGTTGCCCAAACTTCCTTCCAAGGAGTGGCTGGTAGGTTTGAACTGCCAACCCTCTGGTTAGCAGTCAAATGCCTTAGGCACTATGGCACCAGAGCTCCTTGTCTTAGAATAGAACTACCCCATAGGGTTTCAAAGGCTGTAAATCTTTATGGAAGCAGACTACCACATCTTTGTCCTGAAGAGCTGCTGGTGTGTTCGAACCACTGACCTTTTGGTTAGCAGCTAAATTCTTAATACATAGTAATTCTCAATGAATTTTTGTTGAATTGTGAATTATTTGTAATGTCCTCAAACTAAGAAAGAGTTATATAAAGATTAGCCAAAGGTCTATTATTGAGGATTCAGTTCTCACAAAGTGAAGCAGTGGCTGGCACGAGAACGGAAAGAATGCAAAGGGACATTAGTGAGACTACTGCAAATGCATTTTGAATACCTGGCTGACCATTAGCATTGAAAATGCCAAATCCTAAGGAAATTAAACATATATTCTCTAAAATGGATAGTTCTTTCGGCTAGTGCTAGCATACTTTAAACTAAGATTTTAATTTTTGTCAGATTTTAGTATCAATTTGCTGTTTTTAAATGTATTTTTCTTCTTGCTGTCTTAAGAGACTTGGAAAGTTGTCACCCAGCAAAAATATATAGATACTTTGTCTATAAAACACCTGATATTACCTTGATCATTTTTTCATGAAATCGATATTCCAAAAGTTTTTTTTTCCAATAAAGTAAGAATATCTTTATAAAACCCTTATGATGCTTCAGTTGCAGAATTGAAAGCAACCATAGACAATACATAAACAAATAAATGTGGCTGTGTTTCAGTAAAAATTGATTTACAAGGACAGACAGACCAGATTTGACTTGTGGCCCATCTTTTGCAGTAGCCTAGCAATGTTTCTTGAAAGTTCAATGTGTAGGTTTGGAGTCCTTGCAGTCTCTTTAGGAATATTGAAATTTGTGTTTTTTTGAATGATGATGTTAAAAAGTATATATACATATTTTCCATAACTTTGACAATCACCACATAAGTAGACATAGTGCATTCTTTCAGTGCTCATGGCTGTAGTTTGGTGGTAAATAGTAATACTGTTAATTACTCCATCACAATTGAGAAAGGAATAGAGAAGGACTCAATATATGAGTGATAAATTTGCATCAGGTAAAAGCTTGAATAGAGAAAAGTCATATGTTGTTGTTATTGTTAGTGCTGTCGAGTCGCCAACTCATAGCAACCTTGTGTACAACAGAACAAAACACTGTCTGGTCCTGTCCCAGCCTCATGATCCCATATGTTCAATTGGAGTTATTTTCATAACTCTAAATGCTGATAACCAGACGGCTGGCGTTTCAAACCCACCAGCCACTCCTCGGAAGGAAGGTTGGGCATTCCTACTTCCGTAGTGATACTGCCTCGGAAACCCAAGGAGGGGTCGCTATGAGTCGGGGCCGACTCGATGGCAAATAACAACAACAACAACAACAACAAATGCTGTTTATATTGTTTGCAGCAATTTTGTTTGAGAAGAGTTAATAATTTCTCTCATTTCCTCAATGTTAATTTTAATCTTATTAGTTTGCAGCTTTACTTCTTTCCCATTTCTAAATTTATTTAGATTTTATTGTAGTGCATGAAGCAAAAGGATAACGTAGCTGAAGAAGATGAACTTATAAGAAAAAGTAAAACCCCTTTAGTCAAGCATTCAGACTGAGTAGCCTGAGTCCAGCTCAACATGTTCCTTCTTGCATCTCATTGTTTTCCTATGTGAAAATCTTGTTACAGCCCCACAGGTTTGCCCTTCTTGCCCCAGACATGTTTCACATTTTCTCATGTCATCTTATTTCCATCTAAATTTTTAAGGTCTTGCTTAAATCCCATTTCTTTCATGAAGTCTTTTCAGAAAAATCTCTTTTCTTATCTCATTAATTATATTTCATCCATTTGGTAATTAATTATGTTTTATAACATAATGTCTACATTACTATTATGTTGTGTCTCTCATATCATTGTCTAATTTGGGGTTGCCTGACTTGTTTTCTCAACTAGATATTGGGAACTACAAGAACAAAATAATCTTTTTATTTTTCAGTGCTGGTGGCATGGAAAGTGCTGATTCACACAGTAAGCCAACTCAGGAGAAGTGTCACTAAAAGCAGTGTTCATGGTTATGGAGTCTTTTTAAAAGGCAAATTCTGCCTCTAAGAGTCATTTAAAACTCCTTTGGAAGAAAATTTGGTAGATCCCATACTATACCTTGACAACTTTCAAAATGCCTTCATTAGTGTGTGGGTCTGTTTGAATATCGAACCAATTTCCTTCATTTCCAGAGAGAATTAAATATTCTGCCAACCAATTATCAGTGCCTTCTTCATCCAGATCAATTGCTTGCAATCGTATCAGTTCTGAATTCAAACAGTTTTCTTCAATACTTGCTGAGTACTAAAATGACATAGATAATTTTATTAGAATTTTCAAAAGAAGAAATATATTATTAATACATACTCACTGCCATCAAATCTGTTCAGACTCATATTAACCCCCATTGAGTGTCTAAGGCAGTAAACCTTTATGGAAGTAGTTTGCTTCATCTTCCTTCCATTGAGTGGCTAGGGAATTTGGACTACCAACCTTCTGGTTAGCAGTCAAGTGTCTTAGGCACTGTGCCACCAGAGCTTCTTTATTAATGCACAGTAATAATTTAAATTACTTAAAACAAACTGTGTCAATGATTTTTGCACTGTTACTAAATGCCATACATTTGATAAGAAATAGAAGAACAAAGTTCTTATAAGATAATAAAACCCATTTTTATGTGCTATATGTGAAATCAAGGTGAAAACAGGCACTTTGTTTCATTTTTCTTGCTTATCATTAATTTTCTTTAACTTATGCCCTCATTTCAGATAAAAGATTGGACTTTCTCTGTAAAGAACCAGGTAGCAAATATATTAGGCTTTATGGTCCAGATAGTCTCTGTCCCTGTTCTAACTCTTTAAGTCTACTGCTGTAGGAAGAAAATAAACATAGACAACAATGTCAGAAAAAGAAAAATAACATGTAAAGAAACGAGATTGGCTGCAGTCCAACAAAACTCTCCCCTCCCCCTCAACTAAAAAGACAGCAGGCCTGATTTAAACTGTGGTCAGATTTTATGCTTCTTTATGTTTAAAGATGAAAATGGAAGTTGAGGGTACTGTTGGAATAATTTATCCAATCATAGGGCATATAAAGATGCATCGTTATTACATTATTCCCAGGGTTATATCAATATATTTCCAAAAATCTGTGAGTTGAGTCTCGAGTAGATAACTCATGGCTTTCACAGAATAGGTTTGTATAGAATAGTGGCCCTAAGAAAAACACACAATACAATGTATGCTACTATAAATAAAAAATTCCAAGGTGTACACAGGAGAGAGCTCTGGTGGTGTAGTGCCTAAGGCATTTGACTGCTAACCAGAAGGCTGGCAGTTCAAACCCACCAGCCACTCCTCAGAAGGAAGACTGGTATCCATAGAGAGGTCCCCTCAGAAACCCAAGGAGGGGTCGCTATGAGTTGGAATCGACTTGATGGCAGTGAACTTGGCTTTTTTGGTATACAGTAAAGCTGAGCACTTCCATACATGTAACAGAACCCGACTCGCAAATTAGCAGGGAAGCAAACTGAGTATTGCCACTTATGAAAAAGAATTATAGGAGTAGAAACTTACTGAAGTTTTCTCTAAGGTGGGGAAATTATCGTTGATGTCTAAAACCTTGATTCTACAGTCACACTGGGAAGACAGTCCGTCTATAGCTCCATCCCGATCTGACCCACTCACAAGAAGATTATACATACTGTGTTGCTTAATTAAAATGAAAAAGAATTGAAGAGTTAGGTCTTGTCATGAGTAAAGTATAGCACATTCTGACGCTTTTATTTTACATGCACATCAAATGAAATCTATTAGAAAAGAGTTTTTAATTTTCATTAAAAACATGATTGCATTAATTTTTCTCCTCCTTTACATTGAGTAAGGACAGACATGAATCATTTCATGGTCACCTTTTCAAAACTGAGTCTTTTACTTCTCTTAGCTCATTCACAGAAGGCTTTACCTCTCTGTCCAGAAAACTTGACATCGTGCGGACTTCTCCAGTGTATCTGTTCAGAATGAACATCGGTGCCCCTGCAGGTTCCTGAGAGAGAATCTTATAGGCGATTTTCGAATTCAGATTATTGTCTTCATCTGCATCTGTAGCACTTATCTTTACTACAAGTGTGTCTAGAAATGAAGATAGAGGTGGAGAATGTTTGGGGCTCTGTTAGAATTAATTGCACAAATCACGAAGTAAAGGAAAGCAGAGTGGTAGGCCTTTTCCCGATTTCTCTCTGTTCTAGTTTTCCACGAGAATTTGTTACCATAACTTTGAACTACACAACTGTTTTTTTCTAAAAAAGTAGTTGTACTTTGCTTTTTAAAAATATATTACAACTTATAATGTGTGTGCACTCTATAATCATTTCATCCTTGTATCTCTGTGAAAGACATTACATAGGTATCATCTTCACATTCACATAGTAAAGTAGCAGCAAAATATAGTGAAATATATGAGAAAATAAGTTGAATAGACTTTCTGTATCAAGATAAAGCTGAGGAAACCAATTATATCAGCTTATTGTTTGCCATAGTCTTGCCACGGGATTTTTTTTTTTTAAAATGCTTAAAAAAGAATGATTATAGCTAAATTAAATTCAATGTTGCAATTGTTTATTGAACAACTATATGCTTTATTGTCACTCATCCAAAAAGGATTAGAGAATAAAACATTTTACCCAACAGGCACAAATACATAATTATTAAAAAGATTTGTCCATAGTAATACAAAAGTTATAAATACTTATAGGAACAAAATGTATGCAGCTTAGGCAAATTCCCAAGGACACCAATCCATGGGACAAGTTTTCCAGGCTTGACAGGTGCCTGATGTTCTTTTGGTCCCTGGCCAGGCTTCAAAGTGAAAAATTCAGCACAGAGGACCAGGGATCCACCTCAAACAGAAAGAACCACAACGCATGCCATTTGTTCAGAACTACCCTGAAAGGAGGAAGCATAAACAAGGATGCTGATAAGAAAAGAGCAGACTTGGTTGTGGGTTTCACCTTCTCTTCCTTCACCAAGATTTTTCTGATGTATGCCAATGAAGAACCAAAGATGGACTTTGGAGTCTCTCTCTCTATTTTGCCTCTTTTGGTGTTAGTTACAGTCTATGTCCTCCCATCCTGAAAACTCTTCTCTACCTCTGCCTTTGGTATCGCCTTCCTTCTCTCCTCCAGTATTTCTTTTCTCTTTTCCTCCATATTTCCCCACTTTCTCTTTCTTTGACTCTCCATCAGTATCTCTAACTTGTTTTTTCATCTTTCTTCTGACACTTTTTTTCTATTCTTTCCCTTATATTTTATTTAAGGGATTTATTAATTTCTATTAACAGACATAGATTTGAAAAAGCAAGGGATGTGAGAGGATTAGGGGGAAAAAGGGGCAAAAAACAAAAAGAGGAATGGAGCAGTAGCAATATATCCACTGCCATACAGTCAATTCTGACTCATGGTGACCCTATAGGACAGAGTAGAACTTCCCCATAAAGCTTCCAAGGCTGTAAATCTTTACACAGCAGACTGCCTCATCTTTCTCCTACAGAGAAATTGGTTTGAACTACTAACCTTTCAGTTAACAGCTGAATGCTTTAACCACTATGCCACTAGAGCTCCTTAGTAGCAATATAAGGCAATAGCAATATATGAAAGTGAAGGCAGGACATGTAAGAGCAGAAAGGAAAAGAGCGCAAGAGAAATGATATAACGAGGAAAAGAGAGGAGGGTACTAAAGTTAGAAGTTGAGTAGGTGGAAGGAAAGAAATCAATAAACGAGAGAAGAAATATAACTTGTGTAGACTGTAAGATAAGTGGGTTGCCTTCAGTGATTGATTGGATGGACACAGTTGCATCTGCACCCTCTATAATTCTGTACTTATAGTTAAAGAAAAAATTTTGAGGAATTTTTGAGAGTTCATAATTTCTTCTTCACTTTACTCATTTGGGGAAAATTGGTCATCAGCCCGGTCCCATCACTGAGGAAGGTGATAAGCACCTGCTAAATCACACGTGTAGGAATGTTCCACAAATAAAGTGATATTTGGAATTTTAGACCAAATAGTTTCAAAAAGTTTTTATAAGTTACAATTTGTATGTTTTTATTCCAAAATATATATTTGTCCTTAATCTTTATATTACCCATATTTCAATCTTCTAAAGCTTTTGACCGAGAGAGAAAGGATGTAACGCAGAGAGGTAGTGTCATTCTACTTACTTGCGTCACTGTTTTCTTCAATATTGGCTGTATACACATTTTGTGTGAATACTGGTGGGTTGTCATTTATGTCCATTACTTTGACTCTAAGCTCAAGAGGTCTTTCTAAATCTTCACCCCTTGAATTCAGAGCCCGGCAGTAGATCTGTAAGAAATTGGAAAACACTGTCTTTTTCAACCAAAGGCAATTAATACTTGAAAATATATAAGGGAATCTGCAGACAAACGATTTTCCCATGAACTCAGCTATATTCTAGTCTAGTAATTTAAGTATCATCAAAGCATTTGATGCCATGCACATGCAGCACAGAAGTCCTAAAGCATGACTCTTATGTTTTCACATTCTTTCCATTTCTTCAAGACCCTTATTTGGTTTCAATCTACAGTGTTTATCAAAAATAATCAATTGTCCCATGACTTACCAAAAAAATTGGAGTTATCTCTCTGTCCACCACTGAAGTGATATTGATTTCCCCAGTCCGAGGATTAATGGCGAACACTCCGTAAGGTGGTCGATCAATCCCCACCCCAGAGATGCGATATGTGATCTTCTGGCTTACTTCACAGTCTGATCGAATCTATAAGGAAAGTGGCTAAGATTGTGATCTAATGGAGAGCAGATCATGAACTTTAGAGGTAGTGGAATGACTTTGCAGGGAATGGTCTCTGGATTGAAACTAGGCATCATGACTTAGTCCTGTGTGACTCTGGAAAATTCACTTAACTTCAGCAAGTAGTAGCTTATAATGATGATGATTCCACTTATATGATCTCTAAGAGTCAGAATCAACTGTATAACATGGATTATCTCATAGGTTTGCTGTGGGGAATTAAAAAGAAACGTGTATAGCCCAGCCCAATTCCTGGCATATGCTACATACATGCTTGATGCTAGATTTTTTATTATAACAACACATTGTTCAATTTCCCAATTTTCTTTGCATAGAGAGAAAGCGTTTGACAGACAAAATCATAAGCATTAGTATCTTTTTTTTTTAAGATGGTCATATTAATAAGTACCCTACATAGACAAGGGGAGCTCTGGTAGCATAGTGCCTAAGGCACTTGACTGCTAACCAGAAGGCTGGCGGTTCAAACCCACCAGCCACTCCTCGGAAGGAAGGTTGG